TGGCCGGGGCTCCTCCCGCGGCTTCTAGGGTAGTGGGGCCCGGCTACGAGGACTCCTGACTTTGGGTCTGCCGCGCACCCTGCTGGCGGCCCGTGCCTCGATTTCCCCACCCGTCAGGAACCAGCTCCTGCCCCTGCCGCCCCGGGCGGTGTGGGTGGACCTCTGGCGACAGCGGAGGCCCGCAGCGGGGCGTGTGCGGAACTGACTCGGTGGAGACCCGGCGTTCTGGAGGGAGGGGCAGCGGGATGGCGGGAGGAAAGGGTGGGGTCGAGTGGGGCACCTAGGGGTCTGCGGGAGGCCCTGGCGACCCGGCCCGGAGCTGATGATTCATCAGGTGGCCGTGTCGGCGCTTACCGAGACGGAGGTTCTCGGCGGGCCGGGGATGGGAAGGCGGCGCGTAGGGGCTGGCGGAGAAGACCCTGCCCGCGCCGGCTTGGGTTCCGTCACTCTCGTGCCAGAGCCTGGAGGGAGACGTGCTGAGTCATCAGCATGAGGTCACTCGCTGCTCATGCTGCTGCCTGGGGGGACTGGAGCGAGGGGCCTCGGGGACTGAAAGGCCGGCGAGCCAGCGAGCGGCGGGAGGAACAGTGGGAATGTTGAGAAGGGGCCAGGCCCTGGGGCCGGTGGCCCTTGTTTAAGTGTGGGCCGAGCGATAGGATTGGAGGCAAGAGTCCCTGAGGAGGAGGTGTAGGGTATTCGTTGCAGGTGTTCTCTCGGGGTCAAAGCCTCGGCCTGTCCACCCCTTCCCAAACTGCTCTTTTCAGACAGCTGGTCCTGGTCCCACGTCTGGGACCGTTTTCCAAACTGGGAAATAGTTTCCTGCGTGAGAGAGGGGAGGAGCTTAGGTGAGCCGAGCTGGCGGGACTGGGAAGTCCGCTTTCCCTGTGCCTGGCCTGACTGGACAGCCCCTGGCAGGAGAGGGAGGAGTGGGGGAGAGAGGGGTGTGTACACCAAGTCCTGGGTGACAGTGGGCAGGGCAGGGAGGAAGCAGGGCAGTTCTACCAGGAAATTGCAAAGGGAAGGAAGCCTCTCTCCCAGCCGGCCTTGAGTCTAGATTGAGGCTGTGGGTGGTGGGAGCTTCAGGGTTCCTCACCTTCAGGGTGCAGCAGGTGGCCTGGCATGGATAGCATGGGATGGCAGAATGCAGCTCCCAGTCACCCCACAGTTGTCCCCACCTTAGGTGAGGTCTCAGTGTTGTGCGAAGCTAGCAAAGAGATCGTGGCCATGCTGGGTGTCCAGCCAGGCAGCCCAGGACACTCGGGAAATGACAGCCTGAGGGTGATGTGGTTAGAGCCACCTTTCCTTGGGTGTATGGGTGGTTTGGGGTATATAGAAGGGAGCTCACCCTTCTCTGCTGCTTCCCTTGCCCAGGGGTTCGGGGTTAGGTTAGGCTGACTTTGTGTTTTGACCTCAGTGGTAGTTTCCCCCTCCACACACAACACACAACACACAGCACACACACACACACACACACACACTCTCTCTCTCTCTCTCTCTCTCTCTCTCTCTCTCTCATTTACTCTCTCTCACTCTCACTTTAACAGAGCCCTGGGGCTTATAGATCCCAGGTTTTTTTTTGTTTGTTTGTCTTTTTGTTTTCGAGTCAGTCTCACTCTGTCGCCCAGGCATATTCAGGGCCACTGCAGCCTTGACCTGCTGGGCTCAGGCGATCCTTCCACCTCAACCTTCCAAGTAGCTGGAACTACAGGTGTGTCCCACCACACCCAGCTGATTTTTTAAATTTATTGTAGAGATGGGGAGATGGGGTCTCGCCATGTTGCCCAGGCTGGTCTTGAACCCATGGACTCAGGCAGTCCTCTCGCCTCCACCTCCCAAAGTGCTGGAATTATAGGCATGAGCCACCGTGCCTAGCCCAATCCCAGATGTTTTAACACTCAGCTGATCTTTGGGCTGAAATTTTATGCCCTGGGAAAATGCAGGGTCCTGGAGCGATCCTTTATGTGTTCTTGGTCACTTACGCTACAGTGGAAGCTAAGTTTGAGATTCTTTCCAAAGAATGACTTTCAGTAACTCAGGGTTCCTAGAGGAGGTGGGCCTGAAGGGCAGGGTGAGAGCTAAGGCCCACCTAAGTTGGGGTGCCAAAGTATAGAGGCCACGCCTCCCCTCAGGAGTTTTTGCCCCTGAGGTTTGCAGGCTAGGGGTGACTGTCTGACTTTCTGAGTGGCAGAGCCCTGGGTGACAGAGTTTCTTCCCAGCAGAAGGAGATGGAGCTGTCCCAACCCCCTTTCCTTTCCTGGCTTTCATGTGAGTAGGTGACCCAGGGTTCGCTGGTGGAGTCATGCCCTGTGACCATCAGCACCTCCTTCATGGGTTGAGTGTAGCCTCTGGGGGCTCTGGCCAGCTTTCTGGACCAGAGGAGGGCTGAGGTAGGGGGCAGCTTCTGGAATCCCCTTCCTCTGACTCCAAGAGGTGCCCTAAGCCATCCCTCTCAACCCATCTCCAAAGGCTGTCTCTGCCCTGTCAGTGTGTGCCTGGGTTGCCACTGGCCAGGCCAGGAATCTGGAAGCCCTGGCTTGGCTGAGACCAGCCCTTCCCCCACTAGGCATACACCTTTGATTAGGAGGCAATTGGCTGCACTTGTGCTGAGGTCAGGCCTTCTGCGGAGGGTGAAATCTGTCGAGGAGGCACTTTTCGGCTCCCAGCCGCCACACTCGGCACTTTTCCGTGTGATCTCTTCAGGAAGTCACCGTTGTCATTGTGCTTAGCAGTCAGTGGTGGGGGAAGATGAGGTGGGAAAAGCTGGTGCCAGGGCAGCGTCCCTGCACCCTGACTTACTCCAGGCTCAGCTGAGGGCCTGGCTTCTGGGGCAAGCATGGGGCCAGCTGTAGGAAACACAGATTCTCTGAGAACCTTCTGTCCTTTAGCTCAGGTCTTCCCCATCCTTTAACTAGAAGAATCCGATGACTGGAGACTCTGGTCTTATCTCTGAGATGCTGTTGGTGTCCTGCCTGTGGAGAGAGGGCTCTGCTTTCCCCTTCCTCCTCTTTGCTTGCAGCCTCACCTCCTGGTGTGAGGCTGGATGAGGCGGGGACTTTACCCTGGCCACCCTACACTCTAGCTGCCATGATGAGGGTAAGAAGTTCCCCAGCCCACAATTGCCTGAAGTGCTCTGGCTCCTCAGGAAGAGACTGCAGCCTGTCTTGTCTTCCCTCCATGTAACCTGGAAAGGAGGGATGAGACATAGAGGGGAGTCTTTGCCCAAGAGGGTGGGACTACACTAGTAATCCCAGATGGATTTCCTGGATGAGGTGCACAAAAGTGTCCTTGGCAGGGCTGCAGAAAGTGAGGTCTGGTGCTGGAGGGGCCACTGAGGGAGTGAGTGGGAGTTGGCTCCAGCCCAGCCTTCCCAGTCCTTTTGTCTTTGTCCCTGGCTCTGTAAGTACTGACCATGGAGGGGTCCAGAGGGCAGTCAGGACCTAGAGGGTCTGACCCCACCTGCCTCCAGCTGGTGGCTAGCTGTGAGGGCCCTTGTGAAACACTCTGGATGGGGTGGGGCAGGGGCACAAAATGCCGCAACTCAAAGCCACAGGATGGTTACTCCATCAGTGGAGGAGGGCTGGAGGGGCCTCGGACCAGACTCCACCCTGCTGATTGCCTGCCACCTCCAAGGTGGGGACTCCCCAGCTAGAGCTAGCTGGACTACTCACTCCCAGCTCTTCAAAGTGAGAAGTCTGGGATCCCATTCTCCCCTGCATCCCCCTCTTTGACCGAACCCCAGGGGAGACAACCCCAAGCCTTCCAGGGAGCAGGGCCTTTGTCCCAGGCAACTTAGGGGAAGCTGCTGTAGGAGGTAGGAGCAAGCTCAGGGTCACCAGTGGGCCCTCACCTGCTGTTGGCCAGGGTGGCCTTTCTGGCCCTCAGCGGCTTGGGCTGGGCTCTCCTGGGGCGCTGCTGGCTGGCGGGGCCGGGGAGTGCCAGCCCTGTGAGGGAGCAGGAGGCGATGTGCTGAGTCAGCATGACTCGCCAGGAACAGCCGTGCTCGGGGCAGTACTGGGGTTATTTTTAAAGCTCCCAGCTTCCTTCTAGGCTTTCCCTTCCTGCATCTTATTCCTTCTAATCTCTCCTCTTGCCCCTTTGTCTTGCCCCTGCCTTCCTAACAATCTTCAGTTCCCCTTCCCCCATCAGACTTTCCTGACCTTCTACCTGGTTTCCTAAAGAGGGTGGACAGGGAGCAGCTCAACTCTGGAGAGGTGAGGCCCAGAGACTGCCTGGTCACATCAGGGGGCTGGGCACCTGGGCAGCCGACCCAGGGTAGGGTGTACAGGAAGGAAGGGCGCTGTGTGAACTGGGCAGGGAGGGGGTGAGGCAGTCTCCAGGGTCCTGACCTCTGTTCCATGTCTTGCAGAGAGTACCTGCTTGCTGTGCCCCCGGGTTATGACGACCCCCAATAAAGGAAACAAGGCCTTGAAGGTGAGCAGGTGGGATGAAGAGTCTTGGGCTGGGTGGCATAGTGGGCATATCCGCTCAGCCTGTGACCCTGTGCGCTGTACCCCAGGTGAAGCGGGAGCCAGGCGAGAATGGCACCAGCCTGACTGATGAGGAGCTGGTGACCATGTCGGTGCGGGAGCTGAACCAGCACCTACGGGGCCTGTCCAAGGAGGAGATCATCCAGCTGAAGCAGCGCCGGCGCACACTCAAGAACCGTGGCTATGCCGCCAGCTGTCGTGTGAAGCGGGTGACACAGAAGGAGGAGCTGGAGAAGCAGAAGGCGGAGCTGCAGCAGGAGGTGGAGAAGCTGGCCTCGGAGAATGCCAGCATGAAGCTGGAGCTCGATGCGCTGCGCTCCAAGTACGAGGCGCTGCAGACCTTCGCCCGGACGGTGGCCCGCAGCCCTGTGGCACCAGCCCGGGGGCCCCTTGCTGCCGGCCTGGGACCCCTTGTCCCTGGCAAGGTGGCCGCCACCAGCGTCATCACAATAGTAAAGTCCAAGACGGACGCCCGGTCGTAGGGATGGCGCGTTTGCCCAGGCAGGTCTTTGAGGGGCCACTAGGCACATGGCGAATTCGGCTGCCCTGTCCCTCTTTTTCCTTCTCTTCTCTTCCCTCCCTCTCCTCCTCCTTCTCCTCCCCACTCTCCTCCCTTCCCTGCAAAGCACAACCTGTACCCCAGGGGCGCCGGGCTGAGCCCCTTTGATCTCGTCGTTGTCGTCGTGTGTTTTGTACGTTGGGATTGGTCAGTTCGGCGGTGATGTGGGTCGCCCCAACCCCCTTTGTACCAAGGCTGCGTGGGCTTGGGAGTCCAGAGTTGGTGCTTCAGGAATGGACGAGAGAGAGGGAGAGAACAAGAATGAGAGAGAGAGAAAGGGAGAGAGAGGAAAACAAATGAGCAAGCATGCAGGGCCTTGGTGTCCCAGAGCAGCAAGGACTTGTGTCTGCCCTCCACTCCTGGGTGGCCCACAGGCTGCTAGGCTGGGAGGGGGCTGAAGAGATTCACTCTCTTTAGTCCCAGGCGACCAGCTTAGCTCAGCCCAGCAGGAGGAGATGGGCTCTGCTCTGAGAGTAGGGTGTCCTTAGGGCCCTGGACGGGTAGGCCACCAGCCTGGACTCAGCGGGTGCTGGGGGGGAAGGGACGTGTGGCTGGGGGCAGGGACCGTGCGCTTGAGCTTGACCCGTTGCACTGAACAAGACCAAATCACTGGTTGTGCACTTACGTGAGGGTGAGTCCAGTGTGCCCTGCAATGGGTCCCGTGTCACTGTTTACATGACCTATTTGTGTGGTTATATAGCCCTTTATTTAAAAGAGAGAAGTTCCTTTTACGAAGTTATTAAATTATATGTTTAAAAGTAAAGAAAAAAGAGCTGCAGAGTATTTATAAAACTGTCTTTTAAAAAAAAAAAACAAGCAAGAACATTTGATCGTATAAATGGAAAAGGGAAAAAAGTATAATAGAAACTTTGCTAGTTTAAAAAAAGAAAAAAAAAACAAAAAAATCCCTTTCTTGTAAACTTACGGACAACTCTTTGTGGCTGTTGGAGTTTAGTTTTTATATACACAGAGTTATCAGACATTATTTATAAAACTTAGTTTAAAAAAAGACAAAAAAAAAAGCCAAGCCGTGAGCCGACCAGAAGGCCGTCCTCTTTGATATCTTTTGCAATTGTACCGAAAGTGACTTACTCCTTTGCCCTTCCTGCTTCCGTCTCTTGCCGGTGCCGTGGTGTCGTCCGTGCCTGGTGAGGTTTTGTGCAGCCGTAAAGTGCTGGTGCTTCTGGTGACCTTTGACCTGTGGGTGTCACTTCTTGTGTCTGTTTTTATGTGTTTGTTTTTTGGATTTAATTGTGTTTTTGCTTCTGCTGGCTTGCCGGGCCTGGGTTGTTCTGGGGTTCCGGGTAGCACCTGCTGCATCAGAGCACAGGGGTCTGTGCTTGCCTGCCCCCGGTCCCCGAGAGGTCTGACATGGGGCTCTGTTGCTCTCACCCCTGCTGAGCCTTGACTTCATTTGTGAGTCTAGGGTTTGGGCTGATCCGGTGGCAAAGAAGGTAGACTCGGGAGGCCATTTTGGGCTCCCCACGCTGCTTCCACACCCACCACCTCTGGTCTTGGGTGATGTCATTGCAGGGACCAAGGAGTCACTGGGTGCCCTCAGGACCGTGGTCAGGCTTTCCCTACCCATCTGCCTCTGGCCTCAGCTTTGTTCCTATAAGCTTTGCATGGGGCTCAGCCAGGGAACCCAGGGGCCTGCATCGTGGGTTGCGAGTTTCACCACCCACTTATCCCTGAACTGTTTCCATGCGCAGGGTGGTGCTTCCCAGGCAGAGTGGTTGGGGCCTCACCAGGGGCAGCCCCTTCCTTGTCCCTGCCTCACTCTGATGGCCTGGGGGAGTCTCCACCAGTACAGACAAGGGCTACAATCTCTGCTTCTCTGTGCTGACAGCTCTTGGCCTTGGGCCCTCCCTTCTTCCCTTTGGATCTGTGTCTTCCAGGGATCAGCTCCTCGACTTTTGGAGGTGCTTCTGTCCGGAGGCTCAGCCCACCTCCTGTCCCAGTTACTCAGTAGAGGCTGCTGACCTTCCAGGCTTGGCTCAGGAAGCTCCTCCTAAGCATGCAATTAGGAGGGTGCCCATGGAGCCCACCCACCCCCAAGAGGCTATAGCCCTGTCTCTGGCCATGTTAGCCTTGGCCTCTCACTAGGGTTGCTGGTGTCTTCTCTGGCAGCCTCAGACCCTTGAACAGCACATAAACGTGGGCTGATAAGACGAAAAACTGCAGTCTGGCAGGGTTTGACCTTGCAGGCAGCAGGATTTTGACCCAGTGTGCCCATGAGATGGGAACCAGGGGTGATGGGCTTCTCTAGCTCTAGGTGCTCAGAGACACTCCTGTTTGTACCTGGGTCAGTCTGCAAATGGAAATGTTGACTGTTGACTCTAAGTCACATAGTGACCTCATCTCCCTCCCCTCAGTCTGGCTTTGTCTAACCAGAATCCAGGCGAAGTTGCTGATGTTGGTTGTAGCAGCAGTGGGCTGGAATCATACCACAGACATCCATAAAAAAAGGTCATGACCTGCCTTGGAGGGGGGAGGAACAAGCCCTCCCTGTCCTTGTACAGCTCCCATTTTTGTCCTGGCTCGGGGCTGATGTCTGTTTCTGAGCACCTCTGCCAGGCTGCAGACCTAGAAAGTGGAGGCAGGAAGTGAGTGAGGAAGAAGAGGAGGAGGAGGGTTTGAGGGTGGGCACATGCTGAAGAGAAGTTGTAGGTTCTTGGATTGGTTTAGAGAAAAAGCTTCTGGAGTTAGACCATGTTTCCTTTTAAGAGCTTTGGATTTGGAACAACTGTTCCCTGAGTCAGGGGGAGTGTTCTCATTCCCTGTCAGGCCACCCCTGCAGGGCCTCACCCACCCCTCTTCCCCTTCCCCTTGATTTCTTGACAATAGACCTATGTTCACATGTGACTGTTGGTTGTCTTTCTGATCTTTGTTAATTCTGTCTTCCTGCTGTGAGGGTGTTGTGCTCTTCTTTCTTCTTGCCTCAACTTCTCTGACACAGCGAACTGAGGACTTTGGCCAAGGCCAGGTCTCTCAACTTGTCCGCTAAGTAAACCATGATGTGTGTGTCTTCCCTCCCTCCTTGATTTTGCCCCAACTTCTCCCTTATCCCAACATGGACACTCAGATTTCAGAGAAAAACCTGGCGGGGACAGGTCAGCCCTGACTGCTGCTCCTAACGGGTGCTCTGTGGTTGCTATGTCATGTGCTGGGGTTTGTGCTCAGCACCAGGCTCCCCTGCAGGCTTCTGCTCTTGGTGCATGCTTTGGATCTGTATGCACACCCCTGACCGTCACAGCAGCCTCTGTTCAGTGACTGGTCCATGGCCCTGGTTAGCTGCAGCCTGCTTTGGGACAAAGGTCAGGTCCTGTTGTGCCCCTGCCACCTCCCTCTCTGGAGTGACTGCTTGGCCAAAGCACCCTTCCACATCTGGGAAGCGTGAGCCACAGCCTGCTGCACCATTTCCGCTCTGGGATCTTGTGAGTTGCTTTTTTAGCCTGTGGTTTGGTGAAAGGAACCAACACATTAACGATTTTTTTTTCCCCCAGAAGCCACTGAATAATTCTTTTTGGCATGTTTTGCCTTCCTGCTGGTTGTCTGGTTTTGGAGCAGGTGGGGAGAGCAGAGTGAATAATCAGTGCCACACAGAAGCAGAGGTGTGCCTGAGAAATGCTGATGGCCTGTCCTGCTTCTAGCCTGTGTGTGCTGGGCATGTGCAGTACCTGTCAGGCCAGTCACACACATTTCCACCCCACCCCTAGAACAGCAGCATTGATACCATGGGTGTCCCTCGAGTCTGAGCTGTAGTGTAAGAGTGTGTCCCCGATAAACTGTGAGACCTCCCTGTTCTTGGTGACCCCAGTTGGGCTTTGGCCCCTTCAGCAACCTTGTGCCAGCCCCACCCTTCTTTCCATCCCTTCAGTCTGCTAGTCCCTGAAGCCTTTAACCAAATGGGAGTGGGTACAGAAAGCCTTCTCCTGGCAACTTAGGGCAACAGGACAAGGGCTGCCCGTGTGTCCAGCCTTGTTGCTCTCCTGGCGCTGAGAAGTGGGTCCAAGCAGTTGATCATCCCCTGCCTGTCCTGCCGACTGCTCAAGCCAGGGGAGGTTGGTGTGTGGGACCCTGGGATCTGCTGGGGTGGGGTAGGGGGTTGTTAAGAGAGCTAAGTGTGGAGGGGCTGGGGTCTGGATGCGAGGTGAGGCTCTCCCGAGCGCCCGCACTTTGTGTAGGGTCGGCAGGGGCCTGGCCTCGGGCAGGGCAGTGGCCTTGGTGCCCCGCCCCTGCCCTGCGCAGTATTTATTGCTAAATTATTGTCCAGGAGGGGCAGCACTGGGCCTGGCCCCCCGGGTATTTATTGCTGTACATAGTGTATGTTTGTGATATATAAGGTTTTCTTTATTTTGTATATGATCAATAAACACCTTTTAAAGAGACTGGCAGGTGCTTCTTTGGGGCGACGCGGCGGGCGGGGCCGGAGAAAGTGGGTGGGGGCAGTGACCGGCGCGCGCATGCGCCCCGCCCGCGGCCTGCCGGGCGGAAGCGGAAGCGTGGCCTCCCCGGGGAGCGATGGCAGCCGGGGGTCCCAGCCGCTCGGAGCGCAAGGCGGCGGAACGGGTCCGAAGGCTGCGGGAGGAACAGCAACGGGAGCGCCTCCGCCAGGTACGCCGCCGCCGCGCCCTGCCCCGCCCCGCCCC